AGTATCATAATCGAGTCTAGGGGTCAGGTGTAACTTTCCAGTTTTGCCCATCAATCTCCAAGGTCCAGGGCAATACAGGAAATCTAGTCCAGTTCAAAGATTCAAGTAATCCTACACTGCATGTGCTTTGGGTCTCACCCCGGCGGCTGAGATAGGCCACCCCAACATTTGGCAGCACACCAGTGTTGGTCTTGGCAGGATAAATCTCCCCAGACTTATCCAATGGCTGTGAACATTCTAAACTAACACGAGTCTCATTAAGTGTCCGGTTTAAGGGTCTTACACAGAAACATACCACACAACATGAATCAAACATGCACTTTATTCATTTACACTAAATGTTAAAAGTACATCAAAATTGATTGGAGCTAAGGACATACAAAATTGTCTAACAGTTTCCTCTGCCACGTCCACACTACCCTGCTTCTCTTTGCATTTGTTTTATTCTCCTGGGTTGAGTAAACATGGGAATTGATGTCTCACCCAACGGCTAACTAGTTGAATCTGTACTCACCCACACTTGATTACAAGAATGCTAAGGAAGAAGAGAAATATATGGAACACAGACTCCACAATTTCCTCTGTACGCATCTGCCTGAGGTCATGCCCGCCATAAATTGTTTCTACTCTTCTACAAACTAAATAGACTAAAGCAGTAAAGCACAAGAACAACAATTTGAGAGTTCATATGAATCAATTTGTGTTTTTATTGACTTAAAAGTAATGGATCTATATTATTATTGTTTTTCTAACTCTAAAAGATAATGGAGTAAGGAAGACGCTAAAACTGCAACTATGGCTTCAAAGTCCAAACCATATCATTCTTTCCTAGCCACTATCTCAATTCCTTTGAACGTTAAAGAGAATTTTGAATGTTTATACAACACCTAGGTAAGCAATTTCCTAGGGTCCAAACAGTTTATACAACTACATCAGATTCATTGTTTGGTGAGTATTAGCCTCTCTGTTCCGGATACAAGTTATAGATTTGAAGTCCAAAGTAAAGATAATGCTTTTGTTATAACCTTGCCATGTCATCTCTAACAAGAGACAAAGAGCCATCTTCTAGTTTGTCAAGTCACCATTTTACTGAGGATATACACCATATCGTGTCTATTTTTTGGGCTATTTACTCATAAAATCTCCTTTGCATAGCAAACTAGTCGAATTAGCCATTGGGTTCAGGGCTAATCACTACTCAACATATGCTGTGGGGCACAGATGCGATTTCAAACTAATCGCCTTTTTGAAGTTCCAAAAAAAAAATGAAGCAAAATTGTTGAGTAGCGGTTAGCCCTGAAGAAAGCATAGGCTAACAGATTAAATGGAGATGATGCCAAATGGATTGAAGATTTTGAAATTCTGAAAGTTTAGATGCGTGACATCAATGATAAAGGTATTCCAATATACCTTTTGGATAACAGATATTTGGGATTAAGTGGGAGAAAGAATTCATTCAAATGAAAATGAACGAATTCAACTGAGGATCCCCTCTTTCATTAGAATGAGAGTGGTTTAGTAGCCATGGTTGTAGCTAGTTCGTGCTTATTCATTAACAAAAATGAAGGAAATTGGGAGATGTTGCTTAGGGCAAATATGATATTTTATGATTTCTTTAAATGACGCCTTAGAGGTAATTTTGTAAATGTATACGTTTTCTCTCTAGGTCAATGACGAACAGGAAAGATTTTTTTATTTTACAAAAAACATTCGTGGTCACCAAAATCGCATTCACCTAATCTCCCCCACTCAAAATCCAAAATATTGCTTCCCGCAATAAAACTTATCCAATCATTAATACAAGTTTTTTTTTACAAAATTAATGAATTCACATCTGCGCCCCACAGCATATCCCACCCGTGTATTGGGAACATCTCCCGCTGAGATGTGCATGTGGGGCGCCCTCTGTGATCTCGCAATTGGGCAAAGTAACGTTCGTCTTCCTCTAACCAATCACCACAATAGCAACAATGGGATCCACAGTGCTTTTCTTCTAAACTGATCGAGCCATCTAACCTTCTTGGGAACCACGTTTGCTTGCACATACAGAGCAACCCCAACTCCGTCTCTCTCAACCCTTTTCTTTATTTCCTTTTCAGCTTTTTGAACTCTCGTCTTTATAAATCCTTGAAGGATACCCACATCCTATTCATCATCTGTCGTGATCAAAATGCGCCGAAGATTAGTTACCAGAATTTTTTTTTCTACAGTCCATGAAGCTCAAATACCTCTTATTGCCTACCCTCTTATGTTTTTTCTAGTTCTTTTACTCGTAGCCATGGCGATTCAGCTATTTGATCTCGGGTTCGACTGGGTTTCCGAGTTATTGAGCTCAATTCGATTGGATGGTCTGGTTTTGGCCATCTTACTCTTCTCTTGGGCATCTATTGGGTGAAACGGCCCAGCCAGAGTTCCCTACTACTACTAGACTTCGCTTGCTATGAGCGGAAGGTGTCGGTTGGGTCATCCTTGACAACACCACATTGAAGGAGTGTCTGTCGCTGTCACACTACAATGAAGTTAGCAGGCGTTAAGAAAAATACACGCATCACGTTCACACCAAACGATGAAGTGAGCTTCAATCTGCTAAGAATTAACAAACAACGCTAGGCACTTCCCAGTTTTCTGTCACCTGTCCTCGACACAAGTGTTTCCCCTCTAACCTCTTACAAAGGCATCGTAATTTTGCCAAGAGTCAGGATTGATTGTTAGTGTTAGGTAACAAGTCCCTTCAGGCTGATGGTCGAGATTGTTTGGTTCAAGTTCATTCTGCACTCTGCAGTGCAGAATATTCGATGAGGACCACTTGTTTGGTTAGTAACCATGCTTGCGTCAGATGAGTGTCGTTAGTCCTTGTTTATTTTTTTCTTGGTTTTCCTTGCTTTTGCGTTTGCGGTACCCAAAGTGAAAAAAGAGAGAATCTGTAGACTTTTCTTCGACGGCTTTTTAAACTCTTCTTTTTGCAGTCAATCTCAATGAACAAAGAGATTCTGGAATCCCACAATAGCCATGAATCTCCACAGCCATCAATCCTTTGGAAAGTAAGTCCACTCCTTATCTTCTCTTCCCTTTTCTTCTATTGATAAGACTGGTCTTTCTCTTTATTTTTTCAATGATGAGTCAATTTTCACTTTTGTTAGCTTTTGCTTATACTAAATGACATTTCTTTCTGCAAGAAATCATGCCATTCTCAGTTGTTTGTAGACCAAGGTTTGCTCCAATGCTATCTGATGTTCTGTGCATTTTTCTGCTTAGAGAGTGAATACTTCTATAATTGGTTCACGTACTAGTGTACTGCAGCTTGATGGGCTCTTATTTGTTTTGTATTGCATATTCTGTTCTTGCTAGGCCCTGATAATGTAGCCAGATTGAGCGCGCTCTCTCTCTCTCTCTCTCTCCCTCTCCCGTTAGGTCTAAGTTTGACATGTGTATCATTTTTTATTGCTGATTATAAAATGCTTTCTTAACAGCCGAATTAGTTATTTAAATTTTATTATAGCATTAAATGCAGCACATATGAAATAGGTTTACGGAACAATAGTTTCTCCACCTAGGGGTGGACTGAATCATAAAAACATATTATATCCAGTTTATGGTCACGGTTCTGTGAATCTATTATATTTATTTGCTTCCTCAATTAACTCCTTTTTTTTTTATGAAATGGGCTTTCAGATTCAAGCTATGTTATGGTGTGCCAGGTTGTGTTCTTATTGATGTCATCTAGGTTAGGATTCTATGTTAGATTTGTGGTGGAGAGTATTGAGAGACTTCATCTAACCATGTATAGATTCTACTTAAAAGTTTAACCTAAACTCCACAAACATTATTCATCTCTCTTTTCTAGACCAAGGTGGTTTTCTTTCTCAGAGTTCTCACTTCTCAGTGAGTTCTAATATGATGTACTCTGAACTCTGAAGCCAATGAATCTGTTTTTATGCCAGGGGCTGCTTGAAGAGGGATAAACATGCCTACAACTGATGGAAGCAAAACTCTAGTCACACTTCAGGTTTATGATCTATGTTTTTTAATTTCTTTACATAGGGGACGGTGAAATTTTATTGTTGGAGATAAATTGTCAATTTCTTGAAACAAAATTTCTGATACGATTCTGCTATGATCATCAGGGGAAGAAAACTGCAATCATAGTATGCTGGCTTCTTGGAAATGGGTCCCTCCTTGCATGGAACAGTATGTTGACGATAGAAGATTACTATGAATACTTGTTTCCGGTAAATGATCAACAAACTTCTCATTTTGTATTTTCTTTATGGTTTATACTCTGCTTTGACGCATCTGATTTCATGCTTCTGAGTTCTGACTGTATACCATCATTTTTCAATGTTAACAAACATAACTTGTATGAGTACATTGTTTGGCTTTGATCTTGTTAGGGGATTTCTCCTAACTCTCCTTAGAAAAGTGGACTCTACAGTCTACACATGGTTACGGATTTTGGTTAGAAAGTGGTTAGCTGGAACTGCATGAAATTTTGGCCCATAGAAAATGCTTAACTGGATTGGGTCTAAGTCAAACTGAAACAGAAAACTAGTGGGTTAGCCTGCTATTGGTTGGAGATAGGTTGAGTGGAACTGCATCAAATTTTGGTCAGGTGAAAAATGTTTAACTGGATTAAGTCTATTCAACCTGAAATAGAAACTTGGGAACTAGTCTTTCCACTTTCCTCTTTCTTTTTGGAAAGCTGGTCCGGGCAAGATATGGATCCCTCCAAGCCCAAAACAGAACCAGGATTAATTTGGTGCCTTTACCCACTGAATAAAAGCAAAGGAATAGAGCAGTTTTTGACAGTTCGACTGGCCAGGTCAAGAATTTCCCCCTTGCTGTGAATCCATTGATTGGTCCATAACTGCTTCTGGATGGCCAACAATATTGACTTACTTATTGGTCAAGATCTCAATCACCTTAGCTAGAAATGATTTTAATTTATCATCAATGCTTATCTTCATTGGATAAATGTATTTTGTACGTAAGTTCATCCCTTGCAAATAAGTTTGGCCTCAATATGTGAATAAAGTACATAGCAAACTTTTACAGTGCCTCTGAATTCACTTAATATCTAAGAAACCCACATGACAATTGTTAGATGTCATAGATTTTATTGTTCAATGTCATCCATAGCTTTTGAAGAGTGACTGGTTCACTGCTAAACGAGTCTTTATATTGTTCTCAAAATGCCAAGGCAAACCTAGGCTATAGAGCAGTCCAAACACTTCTGCATAGTCAAGAAGCTTGTCAATTGTCTATAGCTTCCTAGGTTATGGTCCAATTGCATACCTAGATATGAAAGGATTATATTATACTATACATCTAATTCTAAATAGCTACTCATGTATCACAAAAGATGTATGTTATTATGAATGATTCTTAGTTGAGTTATTACTGTTCTATAAATCACTTATGTCATATGAAGGTTCCCTAAACTGTAACTTGCCCAGGTGGAGTTTCTTGGTGACAAAGTTTCATAGCCAGTTTCTGGTCCTGATGAATATAAGCAACAGTCTATATGTACCGTGAACCGATGATCCACTTTATGCTTAGTTGTAAAGAATAACAGAAAAAAATATATTATATTGTTTGGACTTTGGATGATGCAATTACCATTTTTAAAAGTGTTTTTACATGTTATTTCCTTTTGACTCATCTGATGAAGTTACTACATGTCCTCTTTACTTTGCAGCACTACCACCCTGTGAGGGTGCTTACCCTCATTTATCAACCATTTGCACTTGGAACTGTTGCAATATTAGCATATAATGAGGCAAAGATTAATACAAGAAGACGCAACTTAACTGGATATACCCTTTTCTTCATTAGTTCTCTGTTGGTATTAATTGTAAGTATTACCAGTGTTCTTTTATATTGTTTTTGTCCAACACCATCTTGAACTTTAAAACCTGGTCTTGGTAGTTCGTACTTAGTATATTTTAATTTTGATATTTTCTTGCAAGTCCTGGCTCATCCTTTCCTCTTCTTGTGACAGTTAGATTTAGCTACATCTGGAAAAGGGGGGATTGGGACTTTTATTGGCATATGTTCCATCAGCTGTTCCTTTGGAGTTGCAGATGCCTTTGTTCAGGGTGGAATGGTTGGAGACCTCTCCTTCATGTGTCCTGAATTCATTCAAGTAGGTGGTCGCAGTAGGCATTTTGTACTTCTGCTAATGTATTTTTATACTTGTTTTAAGTTTAACAAGTCACATTTCTACTTTCATGAGTCGTTCTCCTGTTAATGTATCTTGCAGTCTTTCTTGGCTGGTTTGGCTGCATCAGGGGCTCTATCCTCAGGTTTGAGGCTAATTACAAAAGCTATCTTCAATAATTCCAAGGATGGTTTTCGGAAGGGTGCAAGTACGTAACATATTGTTCATGGATGTTCTTTTGTCAATGGAGTAAATGTCCAGTTGCTAATTTTTGGGAGTCTCTTCTGAGACATATGATAAAATTGGAACAATACAAAGAAGATTAGCATTGGTCCCTGCACAAGAATGACACACAAATCGAGAAATGGAATAATTTTTGAGAAATTATATGGTCTATTCTTTTTGTTATTAATACAGTACTTTTTCATTTTTCTTTTCTGAGAAGTGTTGTACTTGTTCTTGATTGATACTGTTTTAGTGGTGCACCTTACAATACTGAAGTGATTGTAAGGTGAAATTTTGTGAAAATACTAAGTCAATGAATGGAATAGTAAACAGTATGCATATGACCTTCTCTACAAAATTTCTTTTGTGAGATTTCACAAAGAAGGAAGGTTTTAAGGGTTATCTACTTTGTTTTAGTTCAAAGATCTGCTTGGGATGACTTTATAACCTTTTCTGTTTAAATACAGTTTATGCTATTTTATCAGTTGCAGCAAGTTTTTCAAAATCTCTAAGGAGTCTCCATATTGTATATTGGAAAAATGGCTTGCATGTTGGCTACTTGAATTCTATTGATTAATTAGCACTTGAGCAGGAAAAATTATAATTAACATTAATAGATGGCTTTTTCTAGCTATCTTTATGATTAATTATCACTTGATTTAGTTAATGATAAAAAGTCATAGCTAGATTACACAAAGGCTAGTAGTAAAGAATTGTTCTTTTTCTTTTCTTTTTTTTTTCCAGTCTGAAATCAGGAGCATTGCATATTCACTATCATTTCTGTGTTATCTACTTGCTGCTAACTAAAAAAACTAAAGACAAAGAATAATTATAGTAATATTGAACAGACCATGACTATTAATGAATGAATTCCTGTTCAATTTGGTGAAGAAAAGAAACCCAATTTTACCTATCAAAAAAGAAAGACAAAAATCCCAATTTAATTTTGATTATGCATTTCCCCTTCTAAAGGGAACAAAGAAATCATTCTTCCTTAAAGTAGGAGCAGTAATCAACTCTAAAATTATGATGTAATTTGAAGAACTTTTTAGACTTTTAATAAATTACTCAGCACCACAATTAAGATTTCATTTGGTTAATGTTGGTATAGGTCACATCTGATTATCTGTTTCTAAATAATCTGGAAAATGCTCTGTGCACCTGACTATGTACTTCTGTTTCTTATCTGTTAAATCTGTTAATAGTTTTGTAACAATGTGCCACGGGGTCATAATAGTCTTTTTATCTTCTCTTCTCTTCTCTCCTCTCTCCTCTCTTCTCTTTCCTTCCTCTTCTATTGCTTTCTATCAAGAAAACAATATCATTTATTTTCACTTCATTTAAAGAGAAAATAAGACTGGCAATGTATCTAATGTTGAAGTGGTGAATGATTGTTAATCTTACTTTTGTTGTTTTGTACAATAATGCTGGTTGGAAAATTTAGTCAACACTAATGATATAAAAAGGCTATTATCCAATGTTGGTCCTATCTATTCAGGTTCTTTGAAGGGGTAGACTGGATACTGACCTGACCATTGGCACTTTTTTGCAGAAAGTGACTGTTCTCATGTTTGTAGGAATCCATATTCTCATGCTTGTCACTTATCAGCCTGAGATTTTGGCCACAAAATTAAAACTGGCAAACATGATCAGTCATGATAATTTTACAACATATTACTACTTAAACATTGACCTCAAGAGAAAAATTATCCCTTCTATATGCAATATTTTCTGTATAAACTTTATGCTTGAACTTTCAGAAGGCTTCATTAATTGTGAATATTACTGTCCACTGCAGTGCTATTCTTTGGTATCTCAGCATTTTCTGAGCTGTTATGTGTTCTTCTTTATGCATTCATCTTCCCCAAACTGACAATTGTGAAGTATTATCGTTCAAAGGCAGCCTCAGAAGGATCCAAAACTGTTGCAGCCGATCTTGCTGCTGGGGGTATCCACACACAACCAAGTTTGGTATATATCTTTCACTATCTACTAATACAGTAACATAAATGAAAAAAAAAAGGAAGAATGCAAGAAAAGAATTCAGAAAGGTTGCTAATGGCACAAGAGGCCTTTTGGGATTGTTTTCAGACAAGTGTGATGAAACTGACAGGTTCATCTCAAACTAATCTCACTTTGAAAATGAGAAGATGACTGATGTTCAAGGTGCTGAGGTTAGGGATAAAGCTCTAAGTCTGGGAAAAGATTTTGTTTTGTCTGAATTAAATCCAAGAGAGGAAGGAGTGTCAGTAGAAAGAGATATCACAATATCAGAAGGTAAGGGGGGGGGGGCTTCTAAGTTGCAGCCAATGTTATCAAAGTCTTACGATTTATGATACGATTCACGATTTGAATCATGAATCCCAAGGGTTTTGATTCAAATTTTATGTTTGAATCCTTTTTTGCAAAAATCTTAGAATTTTTGTTTGAATCCTACGTTTTGATTCATAAATCTTACGATTTATATGATCCCTACGATTCATTGTGATTCAAATAAATTCAATAAAAAATTAGTTTTCTACTTTGTCATTTTTCTGTTCGTATTTAGTTTTTTCAAGGGAGACTTGTTTTAAAACCTTCACTAGAAATGATTTATTTTCACTATTTAAGACCATCATTGAGTTTATTTTGCATCATATTATGTTAAAGAGCCATTGTATGCTAATTTATTTGACTTTCAAGTCAAACTTGATTATATCACCTTGGGCTTCTATTGTATATGGTAGATATGGATTAAAAATAGGATAAAATAATTTTTCTATATATTTTTAAGCTTTTTAATATATCTGTACTTAAATTTTTGACAAGTTTGTGAAAATAGAAATAATCTTACAATTTACGATATGATTCATGATTCAATTCGATTCAATTTACGATACGATTGCGATTTTCAAAACATTGGTTGCAGCAGTTGAGTGAAAGTTTGGAGGAGGTGGGGTCCAGGGAGTTGTTTGTGGAGTTATTGTTTTCAGAAGTAATAATTGGAAAACTGGGGACAGATTTGGGCAGATTGAGAACAGAAGTAGAAAAGGAGTGCTGGGTAAGAGCGGATACTTCCAAAGCTAAAGATCCAGTGGCTTAAAAAAAAATTGAAGGGATGAACAATGGGCAGTTGATTCATATTACCAAGGTTTTTTCCAGGTTGAAAGATGGCCTCATTGGAGCAGGTCTGAGTAGAAAGTTTAAGAGAATGTATAGCAGAAAAAGATTGAAAGTCAAGAATTGTGCGGATAGAGTGGATTTTGGAAAGACAACCACAAGTCAGACCCATACTGGTTTGAACTTTGAAGTTGAGCCCTAATCCTGATATCCATAAGACAAGTCTAAGGGAAAGAAATAGGAAAATGAGGAGGTGGTTGTGGATCGACTTAGAAAGAGGAAAAAAGGTTGGGTTAGAGAAGATAGTGGAAACCAAAGTTCAAGTAAGAAAGCTGTTGGGGATTTCGTTTATAGGAGAGTAAGATTTTGCAAGAACAGTGTTTTGGGAATTAAAGAGGAAGTCTTCTGAAGGAGAAAAGATCCGTTGCAGATCTTTGATGAGCACAGGGTGATGCTGGTTTGTGTTTGGCTTAGGTAGGGAGCAGCTTTTGTTCTTTTAGGGGAGCAGGCATAAGCTGTTTTGATTTGTAAGGAATTAGGAAAGGGAAAGTTCTTTGCAGTGCAAGGATTTGGAAGGGTTTGATTTTTGTTTCTTTTTTGGTTTATTCGTTACCTTTATTTGTACTTCCTTTCTTTTTTATTTATTTTCAAGGAAAAGGAAGAATGCAAGATTTCCGTAGTTTCTATTTAAGGTTTTGGAATTTCTGCAGGATGAAGAAGATCCCAAACAACTAGAGCGTCTTAGCAATAAACAGTTATTTTTTCAGAACATTGACTATGCAGTTGACATATTTTTGATATATGTTCTAACATTATCAATTTTCCCTGGCTTCATATCTGAGGATACTGGATCACACAATTTGGGTTCATGGTAAGTGTTCATTTACCATGATACAAACCATTTGTTTCACTTAATATTTTCTGTCACAATATATGATTTTTATTTTCGTAGTCCACAAATTTCTCATTTCTTTTAGTAATTCCTAGACAAGTTACTTCATGTTTGTATGTTTTGGCTCAAGTACTGAACCTGAATCTCTGGATTGAGAGTGGAAAATGATCTGCACCATCAGTTGCAGTTTGATAATTCTTCTTTTCAAAATTTTGTGTTAAGATCAAAGCTCATATTGACACGCCATTCCATGCCTTTAGTTTCTTGAATAATGAGGGAACCAATGGAATCAAAAATAAAATGTAATCAGGGAAATTGTATTCCTGAAGATTTTTAACAAAATGAAAACACATTAGCAATAATTTTAGAAACAAAATTCCACCTTACTGTATGTTAGTAGAAACCAGTTTTCTTTTTCCATGTAAATTGTCTGAATTCTGATGGCCTTTTTTCAGGTATATACTTGTTCTAATTGCATCCTACAATGTGTGGGATCTGATTGCAAGATACATCCCCCTAATAAAATGCCTGACCTTAACATCACGAAAGGGCCTAATGAATGCAACTCTATCTCGTTTCTTATTCATCCCTGCTTTCTACTTCACGGCTAAGTATGGAGACCAAGGCTGGATGATCATGCTCACGTCACTCTTGGGATTGACCAATGGTTACCTCACCGTCTGTGTCCTTACTGCAGCACCAAAAGGTTACAAGGTCAGCTAACTCGCATGCTTTTCAACTGAGAAAAAAAAAAAAAAAAAAAACCCAAACTGGTTAACTTTTGTATTTCTTAACCCAAAAGGTTACAAGGTTATTTAAGGATCTTGTTGTTTAGTGTTTTTTTTTTTTTTTAATTTTCCCTAATTGGGGGTTATGGAGTTTTGGTTTTGTAGGGACCAGAACAAAACGCCTTGGGGAACTTGCTTGTATTGTGTCTACTGGGAGGTTTGTTTGCAGGGGTAACGCTTGATTGGTTATGGCGAATAGGAAAACCATGGTGAACTTAACCTTGCCTTACAGTACTATATAAAGTCTTTCTTGCTCGTAATTGTCATGAAAGCATTTACCTTTATTTTCACTTTATTAAATGGTTCAAGATTGGTGCTGAGTGCTGAGACAATTGGAATCATCCCGTGGAGTTGGGAATTAAATGGTCGACTGTTCCTCCTATTATACTGTTTGCTTTGTATTCTCTGGAGACAGGGATGGTCCAGTTTCCTATGGTGCCTGAGTAAATTTTAAGTAAAATTAGTGGAACAGTGTATAACTTGTCAATCACAAAAAGAAAAGGTCATTCTGTTTATTTTTCTTTGAATTGCTAAGTGGTTTTGACATGTAATCTGCTATTACCATTTCTCATACAGCTGACCTGATCAGTTGATTACATTAACAGGTATGAAACAAAGAGTTTATGTGGGCTGGCCATGGAGCCAGATTGCATGTTTGAAAGGAACCACCAAGCTTTTTCGGTGGGTGGTCTACGATTAAAACAAGATAATATGAAAATTACAGGTGCCTAGCTAAAAAGAAAACAAAAATAGGCTTGCCTAAGTCAATATAGCGATGATGTATGTATGCCGTCAACGCAACTACCATTTGATGATATATGTCTGCCCTCAATGGTAAACCTGGACCTGCAGTATTGAAGGTGTGGCATTGACCATAAAAAGCTTTTAGCTTTTGGCTTGGTGGCAATGATCAAATTAACTATTCCCAGCATTATCTTCTATCTTATTTCGTGTTCATCTTGACTTGTGTTGCTTCTCATTTGAACTTATTAGAAACCAAAGGGAAGTTTTGTCTGAATCTAATGAAAAACCAAAGCTTGTTTACTTAAAGGAGGATTGATCAATACTTGATATAAAAATTAAGTAACAAGGTGAAAAATCAAAGGTAACCCAGTAACAACGTTGAATTCAAATTAAATGCTTTCTATTAACTTAAAGAAAGGAGCCAACACTTTTTACATGTTTTGGGGATTTCTCTTTATAAAATAATGACTCATCACATTCACAGTTCCTTAATATACTTGTATAATCTTTCACAATTGTTAAATAAAGAAAGGGAGAACGTGATGATCAATGGGAAATAAGAACTTCTGAAAGGATATATATGATTAATGCACTTGTTTGACTTCAAATATTATATTATAGTCCAATTCAAGACGTAGAGAGTTCTCATCTGGAACCAGAAGACCGAAGACTTCCCATGTGGACATGTGAGTATCTTCGTCACCCCAAAGCCAAAATAATCAATAAAAAAATCGAGAACTTGGAATCCACCTATGGTAGCCTCAGATGTATATATTATCAAAAAACGAAATAAATATATAAAAAGAACAAAAACGACAATGACCAGTAGCAAACTCCAGCTTCTTTCCCTGTTCACACCATTTCACATTGAACATAATACATATATGCGGCTGAGAAGAAAAGCTGATATTCCTTCTTTCTTTTCCAGAAAACAATGGTGTTGGCTCCTCCATCATATCATAACGATCCATCTATATCTAAAAATCTATTCAAAGGTCAAAAACCATTTCAGCATTTTCAAATTCTTTATTTCCCCAATCATGATTTTTTTTTCTTTTGGTTATATTAAACTCACTTTATAGCAAAACCTCAGCCTCTCATGGAAGTAGTCATCACTTCATCAAGTGAGACTCGGGGTCATAAAGTGGTATGAATGTCAACAAAAAGGGTTGTATAGTCATAATTTGTCCTCGTAGCATAAAGTCTATGATATTTCCCACATTCTAGCATTTGCTTTTTTTTTCTTTTCTTTTTAGTAAACAATTTCTCCATTTATGATTGGAAATAAATTTAATTGCATTCTCCAGCCAAATAGGCACACTGAGGAATTATTCAGTCTGAACACAAAATATCAAAAAAGATATCGAGTAATATTTCATGATTATATTTGCTTTGATAAAAAATAATAATAATAATAATAAAAGAAACAGGAAGCTGAAGGGAAGTTCAAGCCAAACACAGCCTAAGGGGGTTAGAAGCTCATTGACCCCCTTAGAGGGTGTTTGGCACCAATGCACTTTACAAGTGTTTTGTTTAATAGTAATTCTTGTTTTTTTTAATATTATTTCTTGTTTTTTGAAAATCTCAAAAGAAATCATAATTGGTGGAGATGCATGTTGATTGGGAATTTAAAGTGGTTTTAATTATGTTTATAATATATTTATAACTACCGGGGACCCATGTGATGCACAGTTTTTGTTAATCAAGAATGAAACAATCAAGACTTATAAACAAATTGAAAGAATAAAAAAAATGGTCTAATCAATTTGTCAAAGAACTGGTAATAATAATAATAATTACTAATTATTATTATTATTATTATTATTATACCCATGCCCCACACAGGTTTATCAGACTTGTATTGTACACAGATGGGTCTGTGTCGGCCCAACTTTACGCATTCGGGTTGTTGAAATTGGGTCATCAAATACCTGCTTTGATCGTCTTCTTCACCCGACCGATCAAAACGGGTCCTGCGTCGACCCGATTGCTTTTTTTCTTATTTTAAAAAAAATCTGTTTTAGTACTTTACACCTCTATCAAAAAAACGGAGTTTTCAGTAGTGTAACTGAGATGGTTTTATTGAAAACCTCTATCAACAACCGAATCGTTTACAACTCTGTCAACAAACTGAGGGTCCACTTGGTTTGCAGGAATAGAGGGGTCTGGAATCGGAATCGGAATGGGCTATTCCGATTCCAATTGTTTGGTTGGGTGGAATCAAAATCCCATTCCCATTCCTGCTGGAATGGCATTCCCCCATTTGAGGGAATGGCCATTCCCTGCCCCTTCCTTGGCAATGAAATCTCATTCCTATTGATTTTAATTCCGATTCTGAGAAAAACTCTGAGGAATTTCTTGTTCTTTGTTATACAAGGTACAACCTATATATATACAATTTCCTACCCCTGAATTTAGGAGATTGAAACTACTAATTACAAGTTTCCAAGAAATCTGGGAAACTACTATCCAAATACATCTAGGAAACGTGGAGATTTGGTTTCCCAATACTCCCCCTCAAATTGGCGCATGCAAATTCCAAATGCCCAATTTGCCAGGGAAATATGCGAATTTCTCTTTTCCCAGAGCCTTCGTCAAGATATCAGCCAACTTCTCTATGGTTCGAACATGGCAAGTAACAATGTTCCCATGCTGTATCTCATCGCGAACAAAATGACAGTCGACCTCAATATGCTTTGTCCGCTCGTGGAACATTGGATTCACGACTATGTGCAAAGTTGCCTTATTGTCACAATAAAATCGTGCAGGTTCATCATGTGCCACCCCAAAAGACAAAAGAAGTTTCTTCATCCACTTCAGCTCACAGCTTGTCGCAGCCATTGAACAATATTCAGCTTCTGCAGAGGAGCGCGACACGGTATGTTGTTTTTTCGTTTTCCAAGAAACCGGCGACTGCCCCAACAGAACAAAGTAGCCAGTCAACGACCGTCACGTCAATGGGCAGCTTGCCCAATCAGAGTCGCAATAAGCATATAGACACAGATCGCTATCAGAACGGAACAATATACCTTGTCCTGGATATCCTTTCATATAACGCACTACACGCAGAGCTGCCTCCCAATGTTCTTGTCGTGGACTTTGCATGAACTGAGCTAGGATATGAACACAATAACACAACTCAGGTCGTGTAATGGTCAAGTAGATCAACCATCCCACTAATCGTTGATACTGATTTGGATTTTCCACAAGAGCGCCTTTTGCCAACGCAAGATGATGATTCTGTTCAATGGGTACGGATATTGGTTTGGCTCCCAAGAGTCCACATTCCGAGATGATGTCTAGGGCATACTTCTGTTGAGACAAGAAGATTCCCTCAAGGCCATGAGCTACTTCAATCCCTAGGAAATATTTGAGTGGACCCATATCTTTCATATGGAAGCATCGATGGAGATACTTTTTGAATTTTACAATGGCAGCAGTATCATTTCCCCCAATAATCAGGTCATCAACATATATCAGCACGTACAAGCGAATATTGTGTTTGCAATAGGTGAACAGAGAGTAGTCAAGATACGACTGGACAAACCCGAACTGTATCAAGGCCATTGTTAACTTCGAGAACCAACATCTGGGAGCTTGACATAGTCCATAGAGGGATTTCTTCAGTTTGCACACTTTTGTTCGATCCTTGGATGCAAATCCTGGTGGCAACTGCATGTATACTTCCTCATTCAAATCCCCATGTAAGAAAGCATTATGTACATACATCTGATGCAACTCCTAGTTCCTAGCGGCTGCCATGACTAAGAAGGTTCGGACCGTCGTCAATTTGACCACAGGAGCAAAAGTCTCATTGTAATCTAACCCTTCAACCTATCTATTCCTAAGAACAACTAGGCGCACCTTATACCGTTCAATCGTCCCATCTGAATTATATTTGATCTTATAAACCCATTTACTCCCTATTATTACCTTTTTTTTGAGAGGTAGAGATTCCAATGTCCATGTATCATTGTCCTCCAGAGCCTGGATTTCCTTCCTCATAGCTTCTCTCTCCATTTCTCACTTTTTACTACCTCAAAAAAACTGGTAGGCTCGGCCCCTGTAGTGACTGCAGCTAAGAAGGCTTGATGTTTAGCAAAGAAGTTAGTACATGTCACATAATTTGCTACGGGATAGGGAGTTGTACCTAATGACTTTGATTCAGAGTTGGCTTGAGTGTGAGTGGGGTCTTTCAAACATCGAGTAGTGTAGGTTTCGTAGGGCTTTAACAAAACAGACAGCGTGCGGTGTCGATGTCCCTTGCCAAGTTGCTCTTCTGGTGCTGTTTGTGGTGCTGGAGCCATACTAATTCCGTCCTCTCCATCATTAGCTTCCACCTCCTGCACACCCCCTCCATTGCCTTGCTCCTCCTCTCCTCTATGAGTATCTTGAAAGCTCTCCCTATCATTCGCACAAATATTGTCTTCAACACTCCCCTTGTCTTTATGTCCCCTGTGGCTGTGAAAAACATCATCATCAACTACGGCCGCAATTTCCAGGCTAGGGTTGTCTTCAAGAGTTTCTTCTAAATCACTGGTATATGGAAATATGTTTTCATGGAAAACTACATCACGGGAGATGAGGTATTCAATGCTCTCAACGTTATATACGCGCCAACCTTTCTTCTCGTAGGGATAGCCTACAAAAACACACTTCCTACTCCTTGCTCCAAACTTATCCTTATCGCGAGGACTCCAATGAGCATAGAAGAGACAGCCAAACACTCTTATTTGCTCGAATTGAGGTGTCGTCCCAAACAGTACCTCGTACAGAGTCTTCCCGCCAAGTACGGAAGAAGGTGTCCTATTTATTAAGTATCCAGCGGTCAAGATACACTCCCCTCAAAACCGAATAGGTAAACTTGCTTGAAACCTCAATGCTCTGGCAACATTCAAAATATACCTATGTTTTCTTTCCACTCGACCATTCTGTTGGGGTGTTCCAACACAGAAAGTCTGATGTAGAATGCCATGAGTCTTGAAGTATGACTTCAGGCCTTTAAACTCTATTCCATTATCACTTTGAACAGCTCTGACTTGTTTGCCAAATTGGCGTTCTACCATGGCACAAAAATTCTCAATAATATGTGCTACTTCACTTTTTTCAAGTAACAGGTAAACCCACACAGCACGAGAATAATCATCAACAATGGTTAGAAAGTAAATGGCACCACAAGAGGCAGGTACTTCATAAGCACCCCATGTATCACAATAAATTAGAGAGAAACAATCATCAGCTTTATGTTTACTTTCAGGAAAACATTTCCTAGTTTGTTTTGCTCTGTAACAGACATCACATGGCTTATCTCTTTCAGGTCTACTGTTTAATTTTCCTACTTTAGGAAGTGAAGATAATATCTATTCAGACGGATGCCCTAATCTACAATGCCACAACTCCCACTCACTCATTCTACTTGTTCTATTTGCCCGAACCGGTAGTGCTCCTCTAAATTGATAGACCCCATCACACTGCTCACCCGCTCCAATCAGAGTCATCGAGGTTTGGTCCTGTATCAGCACAACTTGTCAATGAAAGTGATAGTACTATTTATCTCTTGCAATAATTTAGCTATAGAAATAAAGGTGCAATTAATTCTTGGTACAAAAAGCACATGATGTAAATACATATTTCCACCCAAATGCAAAGTCCCTTCCTTTACTGCAGTAATTTGCTTCCCATTGGGAAGTTCCATCAGACACGGTGTAATGTTCCGAACATCAATCAATAAATTAATTTCTCCAGTCATATGGTGCGACTCCCCGGAATCAATTATGCAATCAGTAGGAATTTTCTTACCGGAAAGTCTTTCAGATTTATGTGAATTCAGAATATTGAGAAGTGTTGTCCATTGGTCTCCACTCAGCCCCAGAAACCCGCTACGGTCATGATCATTGGTGGTTCCAACCTTTTGTCCTCCAGTTTCACTTCCCGCTGCTTGGGCAGCGTTCTCTTGCCTTGTTTCCTCGTCCTTGTCCACCGGCACCCACGCTCGAACCACTTCGCCCGCAACCTGCTTCTTTCCTGGTTGAGCGTGTCTATCTCCCCACCATTCTGGATATCCGGTTACCTGAAAGTAGTCCTTTGCTTCATGTTCGGATTTTCCACAATGTGCACAGCTCACGTTTTTATCCTTTGTACGTGCAGCAACTGCTTTTGCATCGGCACCTACATGCACCGCAAAACCCACAGCATCACTTCGTTCTTCTTTGCTCTTGGCTATACTTTGATGCCTTTTCTCTTGAATGACAATTGCATAGACACGGTTCAAACTCGACAACAATTCTATGCTCAAAATATTCGAATGCACGGTGCCATAAGTTGTGTCATCAAGGCCCATCAAGAACTGATGTACCCTCTCTTCTTCTCGCTTCTTTTCAAGCATGGTCGCAATTTTGCAGTTGCAACCGCTACAACGACACGTGGGTATCGGATCATAATCCGCCAGTTCATCCCACATAACCTTCAGCTTCCCGTAGTAAGCCATCACTGCTTGTCCCTATTGTTTACAAGCAGCCAAATCTGCCTTCAGTTGATGGACTCGAGGTCCATTCCCGATAGAAAATCTCTGTCGCAAATCCTCCCACAAGTCTTTCACGCTCTCCGTATATGATATAGTAGATCGCAAGGTTGGTTGGATTGTATTGAAAATCCATGCAACCAGCATCGAATTCACCATCCACCAATTTTCGAACAGATCCGTGAATCGCAACGCTGGTGATACGCCAATGTCGAGATCGTCGACGAGATTATCCGCCTCAAAATTGCCGGTGAAGATGTGAGTGAAATAATAAAAAAATATGGATGAGAACAAGCGGTTGACGACAAAGTAGGAAGTTGAAGTTCAGGAGACCAGAGTGGCCTTGTATTCGAGATTGGAAGTTGTCGGAAACTTGTGCACAGTTTCGTTCTTATTAGCGAGACGAATAATGCAGTAGTTCGATCGTGGGGGGAGAAACGGGAGGAGCCTATAGAAGAAGAAGAAGAACCGAAGATTGTATAAGAAGAAGAAGACCGAAGAACTCTGCAGAGTTCTTGTTTGAACTGCGAAAAATCAGAACTCGAAACCGCCGGTTGCAGCCTTGGGAGGATTCTCGATCTCTGTCTCTCTGGATCTGGAGTGCAAAGTCTGTTCTTTGCCGGCGCCAAGCAACATCGCTGCTGCTACTGATCTCCAGAGGACTTAGAACACAAACCTCTCGCTCCCGTTTTTGGCTCTGATACCATGAGAAAAACTCTGTGAAATTTCTTGTTCTTTGTTATACAAGGTACAGCCTATACATATACAATTTCCTACCCCTGAATTTAGGAGATTGAAACTACTAATTACAAGTTTCCAAGAAATCTGGGAAACTACTATCCAAATACATCTAGGAAATGTGGAGATTTGATTTCCCAATACATTCTTATTCCTGTCTGAACCAAACAGACTATTGGAATAGACCTTTCCGATTCTGATTCCGGAGGATGTTGATTCCGATTCCGACTACCAACCAAACGGACCCTGAATTGTTTTTCAGTAGCCTCTATCAACAACCGAATCGTTTCCAAGAAGTTGTTGAGACGTTTGTTATTGAGAGGCTTTGAGACATTTGGTCTCCCAAGGGGCATTTAATTTTTTGGAAAAAAAGAGAACGCAACAATGTTCTCTAAAGCAACCTGAGCTCAGCAATGTGCCAGGTCATCACATTGCCTTTTAGTATATATAAATAGATGACAAATGCATGAGAGCGTTTTCAAATTTCAATGTCCCACATCACTTTGGTGAGTAGACCTAGCAATTGGGTTGGGCCAGTCGTGTTTCGGTTGGGTCAAAACACTTTGGGTTGATTATGGTCAGGTTGGATTGGCAAATGCTAGACCCTAAGCTTGTTCCGGTTAGGGTTGACCCATAGGCCAATTCGGGTCATCCCTAAAATAATTGAAATTTTAAAAAACAAAGAAAAAAATACATGAAAAATATCAAAATTAAAGGAATTAATTTTAAAATTCCAAATATAAATAAAAAACTTGAACATTTAACAATTCAAAGAATAAGTAATAAAGAATAAAGACTAAATAATAAAGATTAAAGAGTGAAAACTTCTAAAAATACATAAATAGTCCTAATTAGACACAAACGGGTCAACGGGTTGATCCATGATCTAACCCAACCCAACCCAATTTTTTTTGGATTGGGTTGGGTCGGGTCAAATTCATGTAACTAAATATGAGACCCTAACCCTGTTTTATTGGGTTGGGTTGGGTTTGGGTTCGTAGGTTGGGGCAACTTTTTGTTAGGTCTATTGGTGAGTGATTCAAAATCACTATGGCAAATCAATAAAACCCAATTTAGAAGGTTTTTGGTTCCATTGCACTACATCAGAGCAGATTTTGAGAAAATGGCAAAAAACACATTACCATGTGCTGTTTGGTTATCCATTTTATGGAGAAATGTTTTCAAGTCACGCCTTGGAACTTGGGAAATGTCTGGTTTGAATGTTTTCTGGTTTTTCTAATGTTGCTAGCAACAATATGCTGACATGGCATCGAAAAACTCCTATGTTGCAGTAATAGAAATGATACCAAATAAAAAATCTGAGAAATCGTTTTCTGAGAAAACAGCATGTTCATGTAGCACCATAAAAAACCTAACTCAAAAAACGACATTAGTTCCAAACACTGCCTCAAAGAACAGGAAAAAAACGTTTTGTTTTTTCAAAAAATGGCCCATCTTAGAAAACATCATTTTATGTTTTTTTTTTTTTCCTTAGGATGTTTTCTGGTATGGAATGTGACTCTTATGTGCATCTTCTCTCAGACAGGCAATAAAACCAACCAGTAGTATACCATGTATAGACGTTTTCTCAAAACTAGAAAAAAAAAAGCCAAACACCTCCTTAATGCCTCTAAATCTTAAAGGTCGTCATTGCAACAAGTTTTTTAGACAAAAAAATATATATTGGTGAGTGATTCAAGATTACTGTGGCAAATCAATAAAACCCAATTTATTAGGAAGTTTTTGGCTCCATTGCACTACATCATAGCAGATTTTGAGAACATGGCAAAAAAGTGAAAAACACATTGCCATGTGCTGTTTGGTCACTCATTTTTTTTTTCAAGTATTTGGCATCGATGCCATTTCCTTATAAATTGGTCCCACATCATAAATATAATTTTTTGGGAAACCATGTTTGGTTAGTCATTTTATCTAAAAACATTTTCGGACCAGTCTTGGAAATTGGTTTGAGTGTTTTCCCATTTTTTCTAATGTTGCTAGCAATAATATACTGACATGGTATTGAAAAAATCCCATGTTGCAGTAATAGCAATGGTACCAAATAGAAAATATGAGAAACCGTTTTATGAGAAAACAACATGCTTATACAACACTTCTGAGAAAAATTCGCTCAAGAAATGGCATAAGTTCCAAACACTGACTCAAACAACGGGAAAAAACGTTTTGTTGTTTTTTCAAGAAATGGCCCATCTTAGAAAACATCATGTTTTATTTTTTTCAATGTGACTCTTGCGTGGCATCTTTCTCTCATAAAAAGGCAATAAAACCAAGGGAAAATTCTCAATGAGTAGCCTATACTTTGGGCTGAGTGCAACTTTGGTCCCCAAACTTTAAAACATGACAATTCAATACTCGAACTTTCAAAATGTGACAACCCAGTACCTTTCGTTAATCAATCATTAAATGGCATGGAAAAGACACAAATGCTCTTCGAATATCATCTAATTTTCTTTATTAACCATCCAAATGCCCTTCTCAAAACTAAAACATTGTTCATCATCTTCTTCCTCAAGAGATGAAATAGAGGTATGAGGTTTTGGTACAATTTTGCAAGGGAATGATAATGATCCAACTCCTACAAAAACCAAACAATTCCCTTCAAATCCTTAGCTAACAAATGTGACAAGTATTGAAACCCCAACAGGTTTAGGGTTGTTTACCATTTCTTTGATTCAATCTTAATTCTTAAAGAATAAGATAATGAACAAAGTTTTGAAGGTTAATTTTGATATTTTTCAAAAATTTTAAATCACACATGTTATCCTGTGATACATATATAACTGATGGCTGATTAACGTCAAGTACTGGGTTGGCATGCTTTGAAAGTTTAAGTAGTAAACTGCTGTATTTTAAAGCTCAGCAACCAAAGTGGCCACCCATATTACATTGGGAATTTTCCCTAAAACCAGTACACAATGTATATAGACGTTTTCTCCAAACTCAAAAAAAAAAAAAAAAAAAACAATAAAACCAAATACCTCCTTAAAGCCTCTAAATCTTAAAAGCTTGTCATTGCAATCACAATTTTTTTGGGAAAATTCCCAATCAGTACCCTGTACTTTGGCTCAAGTGACAATCTAGTAACCGAATTTTTAAAATGTAACAATCTAGTACCCAAACTTTCAAAATGTGACAATCCGATGCCTGTCGTTAACGGTCTATTATTTAGCTGTTAAGTGACATTTGAAAAGTCAAAAATTCCCTTCGAAAGCCATCTAATTCTCTTTATCAACCATCTAAACATTGACAAAAAACTGAATACTCCCAAATCCTAGCCTCTTCTATTCAAAAAAGTTGGTGACTGTTTAGAAGAATCTCAAATTTGAGACTGTTCATTTTATTGTTAATGTTTGGATGATTGATAAAGAGAATTAGATAGTATTATTAAGAAATTTTTGACTTTTCAAATATCACTTAATGGCTGATTAACTACAAATACTGGATTGTAATATTTTCAAAATTCCAGTATTGAATTATCACATTTTGAAAATTTAAATACTAAATTATTGTATTTTAAACTTTGGGACCAAAATTGTAATTCGAACCAAATACGTCAAACTGTATATGGCGTGTCTTCTCTGACTTAAATGACCCAAGAGAAATGAGAAAAACAGATGGTAAGCTGGGGCAGCTCTCACCGACTACGGAGCAATTACTTTCATACCTTAGAATGTTTTCGGTCTTTCTTTAAAAAGAACTCGATGAAGATTGTCTCTACAACAGTACAACGAAACTCCCCATGAGAATCGTTTATTGATTCCGCCCAAGGAAACTGCCAGTCTGGCTACTGGTGGAGTCCAGCTCCAGCACGGAATTTATTGAGAGATAATCTCTCTGCCCATCTTATCCATGTATTAGACTTTCTCAACTTCTTCGAAACCGTTTCCTCGTTATCGGTCCATTTACAAGGAGATTTCGGAATTCCACAAGAACCAGGAATCTCCACTCCCTTTGTCTTCTCTTCTCGACAGTATACAGATTACAGCCCTTCGAAAAGTAAGTTGATCCATTATCTTTTCCTCTCTCTCTATACGTTTGATCTTTATTTCTTTTTCACTTTTTTTTTGTCGTGATTTTCCATATTATTTTTGACTTACGAGTCAACTTTTACTCTTCTTTTTTGACTTTTTGCTTCTTTTTAACAATAATTCATTCAGCGCAAGGTCTTGTTTTGTGGGTTCTTTGTAGAGGAAGGTTTGCCTCAATACTCCCATCTCTCTTTCTATCTGCGGGTATTTCCTGTATGCAAACTGAATAGTTCTGTAATGTATTCACATGCTATTTTAACATTGCTTGATGAGCAGCGGTTCTTTTCATTCTATACACTCTTTTTCTTGGTATTCTATACTCTTCTTGTTAGGACCCGATAGCATATAGAGGTTTGAAATTTTTTTGGTAATTACAGAGCAATTGCCAATTTTTCTTTTATTAAGTTAGAATGCATTTCAACTTTTGTTTACTTTATCGGTTTATTTGTTCTTGGAGATGAGGAGGTCTAGGTTGATATTGGCATACCATTTTTCTTGTTGAGTTTTAAATGCTGTTTTATCTTATTGAATTGATTAATTTAAGTTTCGTTCTATAATAATGCAACACATAGGAAATGGTTTACACTTTACAGAATAATAAGTTTCATCTCAGTTTCTCTTTTTTTTTCTTTTTTTTTTTTATTTGGCTATGTTGTGGTGCGACTGGTTGTGTTCTATGTGATCAGATTAGGCTTCAATTTTAGATTTGCTGGATAAAGGTAGGAAGAAAACGTCCAGAAGCAATATTCTGATCTTTTATTTTTTCTAGAGTGAGGTGATTTATTTCTTCTCATATATCTAGTATTGTATGGTCTAATGCGAAATAATTAATTTTTAAGCAAGGCTGTTTGGAGAGGAGCAGACATGCCAACGCCTTATGGAATTCAGGCTCCAGACAAACCTGAGGTTTGTGGTTTAAAATTTTCTGCTTTCCAGGGGAGAACATGAGGATTTATTTCTGGAGAGAACTTATTGATTATTTGAGACAAATTCTTATATAATTATGCTATGATAATCAGGGGAAGATTACTGCAATCATAGTATGTTGGCTTCTTGGAAATGGGTGCCTTTTCTCATGGAACAGTATGTTGACAATAGAAGATTACTATGTTTACTTGTTTCCGGTAAATATTCAACCTCATATTTCATATCATCTTTGTGGTGTATACTTTGGTATTATATCTCTAATCTTTTTGTATGTAGCTTTGTCGTGACATTTTCCATGTCCACAAACTTAGATTGTATATCTACTTGTTTCTGAACATGTCATGTTATTTGTGTTCCAAAAAGACTCTAAAAATGGTTTTGAATCTTCATTGGAAACTGGTTGTAGCTGAAATTGGATTTTGGTTGGGGTGGGAAATGGCTAACCGGAGAGTCTAGTCAAACCTGAAATGGAAAACAAGTTGCATTAGCCTTTCCTCTTTGAAAATATAGCCTGAGACAGATGAAAACTCTCCAAACCCAATTCAAACCGGACTTATCCTGTTGTTTATACCCAATCTGAATTGTAGAGCGCGTTGGGGCCAATGAAGAAAGAAAGAAGGGTAGGCAGTTTGACATGTTGGGTCAAGTAGTTTACCCAGCCCTGAAACCATGAATTTTCCACAATGGTTTTTGGGATGGCCAATTTGGTTGGCTTCTTTATGATATTATCTCAATTGCTTTATATCATCATCTTTCCGTTCTGTTTAATGCCATGTAGATTGTTAATTATGAGTGCTGTATGAGATGAAGTGGATTGCAAACTCTTCCAATACCTCCGAGTTCATCCAATACCCAAGAAAGCCACATGAAAACTGATATGCCATAAATTCTGACATCCAAGGTTATCTTTGGCAATATTTTCTTGATGACTGGCCTTTTTCTACTTGCACTGTTCTCAAAATGATGATGGTGCAGCCCAAGTGCTTATATTTTACTAATATAGATCTAAACTAAAAAAGTGGTCATTGTTTAGTTTGATGGTAAAATCTTAGGCTGACAAGCATGAAAATGTGGGTTCTTGTCTGAGAGCAACCACTTTGTATAAAAAAAATCGCCAAATGTTAGGACCATATCTGGTTCACCCCTCCCAAGACCCAGATAGGTGGGACCAATATTGGGTAAAATCCTTTAGGGACTTGCATATTATTTGTATGAGATTAGAGAAACAATTACACATCTTTCAGATCAGAGCAGTTTGATGCCAAAGAGCTTCATTTAAATTGCTGATGTGGCTTATAAGTCAGGGGTGCAAAAGGCTTGCTTGTACAGAGAATGACACTCACCTTCTTAATTTTTGTATGTGAGGAAAAAGCTTTTTTTGTTTATATTCCCTCATGTACAGATCCTGCCTCAAGCTTATACAGTATATTCTGTTTAAAATCAGTGGGATGTGCCATGGATTCATAATTCAGTTAATGCTTAGTTTCAGAGAACAACAAAGGAAAGGAAGCTCTGGATGATATATAGTTTAGAAGACATACATAACTACCATCTCTAAAATATTTCTTTCAGATGTTATTCCAAGTTGTCTTATCTGATGAGGACACTACATTCTGTCTGATTCATTTGCAGAACTACCATCCTACAAGGGTGCTTACCCTTGTTTATCAACCTTTTGCACTTGGAACCCTTGCAATATTAGCATATAAAGAGGCGAAGATTAATACAAGAAGACGGAACTTAACTGGATATATTCTTTTCTTCATTAGTTCGCTATTGGTATTAATTGTAAGTACTATCAGTTTTCTTTGTTTTGCATTGGTCAAACATCTTCTTGAATTATAGCTTCTAACTGTGCTACTTTACAAATCAGTGGTTTTGATATTTTCCATAACTGGTTACTGTCAACACTGACTTGTCCTTCTGTCCTTTCATTGATAGTTGGATTTAGCTACATCTGGCAAAGGAGGGATTGGTACTTACATTGGTATATGTGTGATAAGTGGTGCCTTTGGAATTGCAGATGCCCATGTTCAGGGCGGAATGGTTGGGGACCTCTCTTTCATGTGCTCTGAATTCATTCAGGCAGGTGGTTGTGGTTAGCATTTTTGCATGCATGCTAATGTTTTTTATATTTATTCCAAATTTGCAAATCATATTTCTGGGTTCATGTGTTCTCTTGTTCTTGTGGATCTTTCAGTCTTTCTTAGCTGGTATGGCTGCATCAGGGGCTTTAACCTCCGGTTTGAGGCTAATTACGAAAGCAATCTTCGAGAATTCTAAGGATGGCCTTCGGAAGGGTGCTAGTATGTAACATGTGATTTATAGATATTCTTGTTTCTGTTAAAAAAAGTTGCTAATTTTGTTTAGAAATCCCGTGCTTCCCTCTGATAAATAGTGTTGTACTAGGTCATATTATATTAAAGTACACTAATGGTATGGTGAGATGTAAATGATAAACCTGTGCATTTGAAGTAGTTAACAGGATTACAGTATAAATGTATCCCCCTGCCAAAAAAATAAAATAAAACAATAAAAACTGCAAGGTTAAGTTTTCTTAGTGCCTACTCCAAAAATACCTTTCTTTTTCTATATAGTTCAGCTTCTTTCCATGCATAGTTCTTTGTATAGACCATACAAATCCAATATATGCCACTTGAGCAACTATGTTTCTCAGATCCTTTCTAGAGTCTCCAGATTATAATGGAGAAAAAAGAATGCATTCAGGCTACTTATAATTATGTTGATTAATATTGATTAATTAATACTAGTTGATATGCAGTGAGCTCACAAGAAAGAATTAGTAACTAAGGTCCAATGTTGAAATCACTTCAGAGGTTATCCTTGACATTGTCGATGCCAATAGACAATTTGGAATATACCTCGGCCTTTTAGAACAGGTATCAGTCAAATTGCCACATCACATCAAGGATTGTATTAAGCAACAACTTTCTTTGCCAGATCATGAGAGTAGGAACTTTGGGACCATGGTATGGATAAGAACATGACTGTAATGTATAACTGATGGAAATCCTATTTAACTTGCGAACTGAAAGAAGAAATGGACCCAATTTTGGTTTTGGTTATTAGACCCTTTTTATTCTCTTGAGGGAATAAAGAACTCTTTCTTTCTGTCAAGTAGGAAGCAGTAGTCATCCCTAAATTAAAACTGGAAGCTCTGCAATATTACTGATATTTGAGCACAAAATTACAACTAGCCGAGGTTTAAAGCATCGATGCACCTGATATTCATGAACAGGCATATCGGGTATTTTGATACTAGAGAACTTCATTTCTTTTATTTTTTTTCTCAAAATTGGCCAGGGAGATCGGTCTTAGGCCTGCCTACTCCCTGAAAATACCCAAAATCCCAAACCCTTTATATTTTGAGTATCAGTGGCTACTGGCTTGCCAATATGATACGGGGTGTATCGTAATACTTTAATTGCAAGTGGCAAACAATATCTATTCTTGTAAACTCTACAATGTAAAGTTATTTTGTAATGAATTGACCATAACACTACAATTATTTCTTTCATTTGCCATGTTTACAGTGGAAAGTTTACTCTTGAACTTTCTGAAGCTTTATTTATAGTAAAGCTTATTCTTTGGCATAAGCTTATTCTTGTAAATATACTCCACTGCAGTTTTATTCTTTGGCATATCAGCATTTTTCGAGCTGCTATGTGTTCTTCTTTATGCATTCATCTTCCCCAAAATTCCCATTGTGAAGTATTATCGTTCAAAGGCAGCCTCAGAAGGATCCAAAACCGTTTCAGCTGACCTTGCTGCTGGGGGTATTCAAACAAAACCAAGCCAGGTATATCTTGTTCTCTATGTACTTGTATAGAACATTAACAACTAGAATAAAAAAGAACTATGGTTTATAGTTTCTGCTAAGATTTTGAAACTCCTGCAGGATGAAGAAGATCCCAAACGACTTGATCGTCTGAGCAATAAGCAGTTATTTCTTCAAAACATAGACTATGCAGTTGATATGTTTCTAATATATGTTCTGACATTGTCAATCTTCCCTGGGTTCCTATCTGAGGATACTGGATCACATAGTCTGGGTTCATGGTAAGTTCCCACCTACCATAAAGACAAGAAAACCAGCCATTTTGCTTGACATTTTCTCTGTCATAACTTTGTTTTACAGAACAGCCCACTGATTTCCCATTTCTTCCAGTCGTTCATAGACAAATTACTGCATGCTTGTAATCTTGGATCTGCCAGTGTTGGGTTTGTCTTACTCTGCAGGTCCCAAGATTTGAATAATGGAGGGTTACGTTAGGCTGGCAGCAGACATTAATAGTTTTTGCCAAGCTCTTATGAATATGGATTATGAATTTGTCATCTTGTGCTTATGCTAGGCCTGAATAAGTAAAGGTTACGTTAGGTTGGCAGCAGGCATTAATAATTTTTGCCATACTTTTATAAATATGGATTATGAATTTGTCATCTTTTGCTCATGCTAGGGCATTGGAACTCAAAAGAATAGAATGATGGAACAGGGTTTATTTATCCAACCCAATATGGTTGGGACAAGGCTTAGTTGAATTGAATTGTAATTTTGGGTCAAATCCCAAGACCCTGGATTGAGGGTGGAAAATGGTATATATCATGAATTACAGTTTTTTAACCCTGTTTCTAGACTTTATTATATTTTAAAATTAAAAAAAAAACGTCTGTAAACCATTACATTGCGCCACTTTCTTGATTCAGTAGTGAATAAATAACTAATAAGTAACCTGATTATTTCAAGCATTGAAAAATATTCATAACCATAAACATTTGCTTGCATTTCAGAAGGAAAATACCTAATCAATAAAGTCTGTTTTCCCTTATCCATGTAAGTCATTTCTGTTTATCTGATGCTCTTCTTTCAGGTATGCACTTGTTCTGATTGCGATGTATAATGTATGGGATCTGATTGGAAGATACATACCCCTCATAAAAAGCCTGACTTTGAAGTCACGGAAGGGCCTAATGGTTGTCGTCCTTTCTCGTTTCGTACTCATCCCAGCTTTCTATTTCACAGCTAAATATGGAGACCAAGGCTGGATGATTTTGCTTACATCATTCTTGGGATTAACCAATGGTTACCTCACCGTTTGTGTTCTCACTGCTGCACCAAAAGGTTACAAGGTCAGTGCACATTACTTATCTAGAAAAGGTTGGTTAAAATTTGCATGTTCCTTTACTATAAAGGGTTGAAGTTGTGAGCTGGGGTATGCTGTTCTTTTCTTTTTGTTTTGTTCTTTTTATTTTTCCCAAGATAATGGTGCTTTGGTTTTGTAGGGACCGGAGCAAAATGCCTTGGGGAATTTGCTTGTATTGTGTTTACTGGGAGGTTTGTTTGCAGGGGTAACACTTGATTGGTTGTGGCTAATAGGCAAAGGTTGGTGACATTTGCACATCCATTACTCAAAGCGCTGCTTAATGGAAAAATTTTCATGCCCATGATTGGCAAGGAAGTATATTCTTAGTTTCTTTTAATAAATATATTGATGAATGGTAGTTATAGAATGAGAATCATCACTTAGGCTAATGTCCTACTTTTTTTTCCTGTTATACCATTGTTTGTGAACCAAAGGTCCAGTTGTATATAGTACCTTAAAAGTAATTTTAAGAAGCTATCAGAATAGTGCGTAATTTGTAACCTTGCAGAACAATAAGTGCCTTTTTTGCTTTTTTGCTTTTTTTTTTTAAATCGCCAATTAATAATTTAGCCAGTCATTCACTGTTATCATTTCTTAACTAGCGCAGGGTTGAGCTACTTGTAAATCCTAAATTCCTAATGCTGTATAATTTCTTTCCATCCTTGTCAGAAAAAAATGGATTTACAAAGCATCTATCAAACGAGAAAGAATCCTTTTGAGTTGATTTCGTGAATAGGGTCGTCAAATGGTAGGATCTCTGCTGGTTGTAGTAGAGACTTGGGATCGAATTATGGGTTTGGGCCCTTGGGGAATGGTCTATTCCCGTTGTAACCCATAGAAAAGAAAAAATAGCCCAACCTAGAAAATAAAAAATAAAAAAAAGCCTAGAAAATTTGATTGTCATACAATAGTTTTTCTTAAATTACTAACTGATGACGACCCTGTCTGTACTAAGTGCTTGGCAAGATTTCTTATGTAATTTAGGAGATTAAATAAAGTTTTATATTCAATTAATTACCCACTTTATGGTGAATTTCTTGTTTTTATTAAGAAATTAAATTGGTAATTGATCATTATTACATTGGCCCCATCATTTGAAGTGAATACTGAATATTCTTTGTAGGAGAACTTTAATTGTTTGAAATAAAAGCTTGGGCTGTTTGGGAGCTCCTTGATCATGACACAATACCATCGATGTGTAAAACTGTAAAATTCAACTGATACAAAAAGGAAAAAGCAAGGAACTAAGTTGGGTAAGGTCTAAGGTGTCATGTGCATTAATCTCCCTTTTGCGATCTGAATCCTCTAGACTGGCCTCAGCTTAATATTTAATTCTGTTAACAGGTGGAGCCCATGAAGATGAAGTTAGAGTTCATCACCATTTATAGGATGATGGTGTTGGATGTTTATGTTAGTAGTGAAAATTATTACTTACTTTTTACGTTTTCTAATTGATGATGAAGAATATCTTTTAATAGGAAAGATGAGGGAACGATAACTGGGATGGCAATGGGACGGGTTAAGTGAGGGTTTTATAAATTTTAGAATCTAGACTCTATTGGCCTCTTTAAATCTTCCAATCCATAATCATTTGTAAATCTGCTGTGGATTGGATTTTGAGAATTCAAACCTTTCTCGCACATGAAAAATGTAAAACCCTCTCCAACCTTACTCTCTCACCTTCAAGAGTAGGGTGAGTTGGGTTTAGAATCCACATATAATTTTCTAATATTTATTGTTATATATCTATACTACTATAAAAAGCACAAATAAGGCTTGAGATTTCTGGAATTTTACTTGACTAAAATATCCCTCATTTTGAATTTAATCATTCTTTATTTTGGGGTAAAAAATATAATTTAAGTACCACTATTCAGTTCATTCAATTCCCTCTCATTAAATCCCATATTTAAGGTATTAACTCCTATTGATTTCTAAAATTTTTCTTGGCTAAAATGCCCTTCATTTTGAATTTGGACAATTTTCATTTTGGGGGTAAAAAATGTAATTTCAATAGTACAATTCATTTTATTCAATTCCCTCACATTAAATTTCATATTTAAGGTATTAACTCCCATTCACTATTCTCTATCATTGAATACTATACTTAATGTTTTTGTTTTTTGTGTTTTATTTTTAAATTCTATTAATTAAGTCTATAAGTAATGCTTTCCATAATATAAAAACCTATATTTTTAAAAACAACATCAAAATGAATCCATTTTTTTCATCCAGCTGGTGGGTAAGTAGTTCAACCATTTGGGCCAAATGGATCAATCTAAAATGTCATAATTAAATAATAAAAATTAAAAATAGATAAATATATAAAAAACAAAGAAAATCTGTAGAAAATTTTGGACACATCACTATTATTGTATACTAGCAGGGACCCTGCGATGCACGAGATTGGTTAAGGAAAGCTAAACAATAAAACACATAAGAAAATACAATTTTTTTATATTTCTAACTTTTAAAATAATGATTAATTATTTATATTTTATAATACTTTTAATAGCTTTTTACAATATAAAAATAACAATAATTTATTTCAGCCAGGTTTGTTCATCGAACTGATGAAACCAATTAACCCGACCAACTCGACCCGAATTGCTCAGTTTATAATATTTCCGGTTGAAATTGGGATCAGTTTCGCTGTAGCCATTTGTAAATTGACCAAAATCGAATGACCCAATCACAGATATATATTAATATTTTCATATTTTAAATATAATTTTTTAATACGGGAAAGCGGGGAATTTCTTAGTCTCAAATATTTTATATTATAAATTTATTTTTTAATAATTTTAATGTAATTTTTAAAATATAAAATTAAGTTTTCAATGTAATATTTTTAACCAATTGAGTAAACCAAAAATCAACCCAGACCAATACAACCCGGTATAGTTGGTTTTCACTAATGGTCAATAGATTTTGGGTAACCAACTCCCCAACCTGACCATGTCGATTTAGTTGGCCAAATAGCCTACAACCGAACTAAACTAGGCCATGATCAACACTCCTAATTTCATCTAAATTAATATTTTAGTTTCTAATAAATAAAAGTAATTTAATCTCCAATAATTATTAAAAATTTATAACGAAAATGCACAATAATTGAAAATATATTGATAAAGAAAATAAAATAAATAACTAATAAAAATAAAATAATTACAAAAATTACAAACATACTAAAAATACTAAAAAATATATTAAGTTAGTTAATAAATATAATAAATAAAATATAAAAAGTTAAACAATAGTAGTTTAATATCCAATAATTATTAATAATTTTCTGTTAAATAACAAAACAAATAGAGATTTATACATAATTATTGAAAATATATTCATAAAAACTATAAATAATTGCTGAAAATACAATAAATATTAATTTTAGTATACTAAATATAAACTAAATATATATTATTAAGATTTTAAAATCATTATTAATGAATATTATTTTTTTGAAAGCTATTTTTCTAGAATTATTAATTGATATAAGTGAAATTGGTTATTTAAAATATTATTTAGTTACTTAAATTTTATAATTTTAATTATTAATTTAATTTAATAATTTATAAAATTATAATATATTCTATTATTACATAATTTAATTTTTTTATTTTGTACAAATTTTAAATTATTAATTTTTTTAATATTATGTTATGTTTTTTTATTTTAATTTGTTTTAACTATTTAAAATATAGTTATGTTAAATATTTTGTTATTTAATATATTTAGTTATTTAAATATTTAAATAGTATATAAAATATTTAAAAATACTCATTATTTGAATTTAAGATATTTAGTTATTGAAGTATTGAAACAATATTTTATTTTTTTAATGTTAAATTTATATTATTTGAATAATCTTGAAAATCATACTTTATATTGTCATTACATAATTTCATGATTAAATTTGTAAAGGTATAAAACTATTAATAAATCTATTATAATTATTTTTCGTGTTTTTAATAATTATTTTAAAGTTTATACTATTATTACATAATTTCATTATTAATTTTGTAAAAATATTAAATTATTATTAATTTGAATTATGTTATGATTCTTTTATCTTAAGATTTTTTATTTTATTGCATAATTTCATTATTTTAACTATTTAAAATATAGTTATTGTTAAATATTTCCTTATTTAATAAATTTAGTTAATTAAATGTTTAAATAATATATTAAATATTTAAATAATTAAATATTTTCTATGTAATTATTTAGCTATTTTTAGTATTTTATTATTTAAGATATTTAGTTTAGGAGATATATTAGATTAGAGATAATTTGGAGAGAAATTCTCTAGTAAATTAAAGATAAGTTAGGAGATAAATAGGAATTGGAGATGATTTAGGAGAAAGTGGGGGAAGTAGTTTAGGATAAATTTTAGGAGAAGAGATTATTGGAGAAGGAGAGCATCCCATTGGTTCTTTAAAAAATTACATGGAATAAAAAAATAAAAAAATTCAAAAAAAGGAGAAAATTTCTTTACTACTTTGTTTTAATATATACTAGGGGGGACCCGTGCAATGCATGGGATTTATTAAGGAAAAGCTAAATAATATAAAGGTCATTTACTAAAATACCCCTTATAGTTTCATGGATTTACTAAAATCTACCCTATAGTTAAAATTTTACTAAAACACCACTTATAATTTGCAATGGATTTAATCAATCTTCCATTAGGTGACGGTGAAAAATGATAGTGTTGACCCTAATGTTTATTTAAATAAATTTAATCAAAAGAAAATAAAAATAAAAATACCATTTTTGCCCTTTATAAGACACGTGCAACCACTCTATTAACTATATTTGGTTAATTTTGTTTTCTGTCCAAAAAAAGTGTTAAGGGTATTTTTGGAAAAAAATCATGGGCCTAATGGCCAAACAAACACTCCTTAATAAAAAGGTTGATTAAATAAATAAGTTGTAAAATATATGAGATGTTTTAATAAAATGAAAACTATAAGGTAGGTTTAAGTAAATATGTAAAACTATAAGATGTGTTCTAGTAAATGACCCTAATAGAATCACATGAGAGTATACAATTGTTTTATATTTTCAACTTTTTAAATAATTAATAATTTTCATATTTTATATACTACTTCTAATAATTTTTTTATAATACAAAAATAACAATAATTAATTTCAATTAGGTTTATTCATCAAATTAATGAAACCAACCAACCCAATCAACTTGACCTGAGTTGGTCGGTTTTCTAGTATTTTAGGTCGGCTTTGGTTAAAAAATTTTCCAATTCGACCAAGTTGGATCAATTTCACTTTGGCCATTTGTAAACCAACCAAAATCGAATGACCTAACTATAGATATATATATTAATATTTTATATTTTAAATATAATTTTTAATATGGAAAGCGGGAAATTTCCCATATTTCTTAGTCTAAAATGTTTTATATCATAAATATAATTTTTTAACTTATTTTTTAATAATTACACTATAGTTTTTAAAATTAAATTAAATTTTTAAGTTTAAATCTTTTGAACTGACTAACCAAACCAAAAA